TTCAACCAACTAGTATTCTGAGATGGGATAGCGTACTATTCTTGCGGCTTATTGTGGATTTGGTGAATTATTGAGCGTTCATTACTATGCATTACTATGGACATCTGACTATGAATTGAGCATCCTATATTTTCCCTATTTTCCCTATATATATAGTCTATATATAGTCTATATTATTTATAGTCTATATTATTTATAGTCTATATATAGTCTATTATTGTGCATCATCTAACCGGATCTCTCCGATCTTTTCAACTTCCTCACGTTTTTTGGAAGTTGGCCATGCCTTTGCCATGTTGGCCAAGTTCATCTCCACAATCTGCTCCAACTGCTCCAAGCCCGCCTTGATGTGCTGTTCTTCTTCCTGCACGACTTGGGACGCCTACTGGCTGAACTGGGGACGATGGCAAGCGGAAAAAATGGTAGTCCTGGACCATGGAGAATTCATAGTGGTTAAGAATGATAGTGGTTCATGAATACCAGTGAAACATAGCTGACATAGCTATGAATTGTAGTTCAAACATGTTCACAATAGGATATTTTATGGGATACCCTCCGGTGTCCTCAAACGTTGCTTATATGGCAGTTTTTTAGCTGGAAATTCATCTCTGTTTGGGTGGCTCGTCCGACTTGTTGTACGGTTAATCCACTTGTTGTTGGGTTGCAAGCTACTAAGTAGGATGAACCAAGTAATGGAGGTAATGATGGCCATAGCTAATGATATATATATATAGTAACTGCTAGGGATGGGTTCTAGATGGCTTATAGTAGTGCTATAGATGGGATAAAGCCAGTTTACGAAGCAGTTGTCATTCGAAATGATCCTCCAGTTGCCGTGCAAAGAAGCCGGCCGGAATTGGAGAGGTGATGAGAGGTTGGCAAGGCATGGGATCATTGGCACTTAATTAACTTGTTGTGTTGTAAAGTGATAACATTATCTAACATTGACGTGCTATTTGCCTGTTGCAACTCATATCTAGCTACGTAATTCTACGTATACAGTTCTTCTGACATTAAGTGTGTATTTCCTTGGTAGGGTATCTAGATCAAATGAATCAACTTGACAATGAAGTGTAGACCTACTAAACACATTTGAAAACAACGAGTGAACGGACAGGTACCCTATGAGTCCACACCAACCTGGCTGAGAAGATGCCCTCAGAATATCTGTGGGAGAAGGGTTGCCAAAGGGATTCAGCCCCATGTACATTGATATGACCACATATGAATATACGTGTCTGATGTTTGCCAAACCTCATTTTACAGGAAAGCTGAGTTTGGGGTTGTCGTGTATGAAATACATGCAGTTACAGTGCTTTTTGTCGGGGGTAAACGGGGTACATAATTCCATTACAAGAGGCTATCCATAACTAACTATCACAATTATCCTCGAAATTCTCTGTGTCTCTCTACCTACAATGTGAGGCCCCCCAGTTATAAGTTGGTTTATAAGCCCCAGTAACTATATAAGTACCATAAACCATAGTTCTTGGAGTTATAAACCAACTTAGCTATCTTGAGGGCCTCACATTGTACCGCCCTTTACAAACAAAGTCATTGTACAACCTCATGGCCGAGGGATGAGAAAGTATCTATATGGAGGCCTCTGAATATATAGGATATCTCCATATTTGAAGTTAATAAACCTGGGCCAATATCGACGATACTTCCTATCCTGTCAAGACCATATCAAAAACCATATCAAAATCATATCAAGAACCATATCTATAAAGCATAATCCAAAACATATCAAAATCACAGCAAAATAAAATCGAAATAAATCCCGAGGTCATCAAAATCACATCTCAAAATCAAAACAGTATTAAAATGATTATATATATATAATCTGAATTAGGCTTCCTAGAGAGAATTCGATGTCATAACCTGATTTTCCTTACAACTGTATTCTTTAGGGGTATCGGTATCACCGATTTATACCGATTTTCAGACACCAATATCGCTGTAGGAAAGGTTTGTCAAGTGCAAGGATTTCCCACCGGTTACCAAGCTGGTTGGTGGTCTCACCCTGACAAATATCAAAACAGGGTCAAACCACCAGCCAGCTAGATTTGGAATCAATAATGTCCTTTTGGTAAAAATAGAGGGGCCGGGAGCTGGTTAACCCCATCTATCATCATAGAAACCTGTTGTTAAAGGGGTAAACCTTCAAACCCCTCTACTAGTCAACCAACCAATGGGAAAAGGACATCTATGTTTGGAATATACTCCACGTGTGGTTTTGAAGGCCATTACCCATAGGATCCATGTATCGTATATATGCTAACATTTGGGGTATATTGATGGTAAATGTTATATATATAGCATACATGGATCCTATGGGTTATAAAAAATCGATGAGCTTCCCCATCTGATCGCCTGATCGCTATGCTCTGACAGTGCAGCCCAACGGATGCCACATACTCCCCTGTCCTTCACCTGCCAGAGCAACGTTCTGCTCACCATCTCCTGGTGATCAGCCGGGAGCCTAAAATTTTTTGGATTTCTGTATAGCAAGCCCTAAACAGATGCAACAGTGTTTCCAGGGTAGTTCGATGATATGCACTTCATATCTCCAGGTCTCCCACTTGTCTATCATTTTATGTTTTTTTAAAATCATGTTTGGGGTTGCTAAAAGTTATCATGATCAGTCATTCTTGGAGATTTCTGCCATTAACTTTCCATCGATATTTTGCGGATGTCATTTTTTGGTTTAGTAAATTCACTTTCCACCAAACAAAACATTGGTATTTTCCATAATTCCGATTTCCCTCACTAAGCAGAACTCAAGTGCTTGGCACAACTAACAGTTGAAACAGACCGCAGAAGACCGCAACAGATGCTATATTTTCCCTCAAGCTGCATGTGTTTTCATACCTTGTTCTTTTATGATTCTTTCGGGTGCTGCATGACGAAATGATACGAAAAGTATGTAAATCCACCACCACCATGGACAGCTTGCTTCCAACACGTCAGAGGACTAGCAGGAAAATTGGGTAGACAAAAAGGGGAGATCACCGACTTCCTCCTGTAGCTTTCATTCATTAAACTACCCATTGTAACATGGAGCAATGCCTGAAGCAGTTCTTTTGGCTCAGAACCCTAGGCCCTAGTGTTCACCTTGATGTTTCTTGATGTTTCTTGGGTATCTCCCTGTTCTCGTGGGTTAAAATCCTAATTTTCACGGCCAATCCTAGATCCCCTGACCCCTGCCAAAAAATGGTTGCTTACTGAATATGGCTACTATACAAGTAGCAAAACAAATTACCCTCTGGTTATGACTAACATAGCCATGGTATAGATGGTCAGATGGCCCATAGAAATAGATGGTTTACCTATTAATAGCATGGGCGGATCTTTCCATGGCAAACTGTTAGTCATAACCAGATGGTAAGTACTCAAGGACCCATCCAAGGTTGACCAATATCTTGACATCCCCATGGCTTGCTGGAGAAATCTCCCAGTAACTGCTGGCTTGATGAAATCACCATTTTGGCTGGTTGAATCACGTGTCTTTGTTGGCTAAATTGCACGTTCATATAGTTAAATACCCGTAAATCACAATCAAGATATCAATATGTTGATTTATGCTAGGTAAATCAATATATATATATATATGTGTATGTATATATATATATATGAATATATATATATATAATATATATATATATATAGGAATATATATATAATATATATATATAGGAATATATATACATATATATATATATAGGAATATATATACATATATGAATTTTGGTTGTTTCGACAGCACTATTGGATACTGCTGCCGCATTTGGTCAGCAACGGCCGCATTTGGTCCTTGAGTTTGGTATCAGGTCTCGGCAACTCGCGAAGGCACGTGATGCAGTCCCGGTAGGGTTGAACCAACCTGGTGCTGTGGCTTGGAAGGGTTCATATGTCATATTGTGTTGGTGACTAATGGTTTTTTCCATGGTGATTAATGATGATTTAATGATGGTTAATGATGATTAATGATGGTACTGATGATTAATGATGACTGGTTGGTGGTTGACCTACCCCTCTGAAAAATATGAGTTCGTCAGTTGGAATGATGATTAATCCCAATATATGGGACAATAAAAGCCATGTTAATGTTCCAAACCACCAACCAGTTTCATATTGTGTTGGGGTAATTTATGATTTGTATACGGATTTATTAGGATATAACGAGGTATAAGTATAAGCAACAAATGGGGATTCGGGCTGAATTAGCAAATGGAAGTGAGCCAAGCTTTTACTGTGTTTGCTGCACCAACACTTCACAACCGCATACAGTATGTTTGATTTTCTTGTGATTTCAGAATCAGGCTCTATTAACCCTAGCAATTCCATCACCAATATCGAGAAACATAAACGAACCATGGCTGGATACTGGATGATGGTCCTACGGGCCTCGGGTCTCCATGGGTCTCCTCTGCCCGCAGTGACTTGGGAAGACTGCATTTTTGGAGTGCGGGTATTAATGGGGCTTGTCTTACAAGAATCCATTCGGGCAGGGCTCGGGCTTGGTGATTCTACTAAGAATTGAGGTCATTGCATGTCATTGCATTAAGTACCTCTCCAATAGTTCCAGCACGCAAACGTCATGAACTATGGCGTATACATCCTTCTGGCGTCTTTTGGGACAGCTTCGAAAAACAACACACTTAGCTGATCTTAGCTGTGTGTTGACCACATTGGAATTGTCCGTGCAGCTCCCTACCATGGTCAGACTCTGTAACCGCAAGTCACCCAGATGAAGGGATGAAAGACATCTTGTCGTAGGTGTCACACATCCGGCTGTCACACATTGGCCCCAGCTCCATCTGAAGGATCAGAAACACCTCCTAGAAAAGCCGCAGTAGCAAGGCCCATTTCCACTGCGGGCAGCTTTTTCAACATCTCCACCAACTCACCAAGTTCACTTACAGGTGTTGGTTGAAGGCGCATGAAAAGGCACATGCATGCCAGCCCAAAGTCCTTCCTCTTCCTCTCCAGAGCATCTTCCAGTACGTCTTCTAGTGTCTCGGCAATGTTTGCCTCATCACGTATCTTGCTCTCGGGGGTTTGTTTTTCTTTCATCAAATCTGATTTCAACCTTTCCGTCTCATTCAATCAACCTATAGATTCAGACCGACCAGCGTCGCAAGGCTGGTCAATGCGACAGTGGGGCCAAAACGGGCGCACGTTTAGCCCAGCGTGAGAGGATGTCAGAAGCATTACGATGCATTAGGAACAAACGTCGTCACGTCAGTGCAAAGAACTTAGTTTTCAAGTGGGTTGACTGTAGTTTTTGAATATAGCACCCGACAGAATTATGGAAAAAAACGCGTTTCAATTTACAGGCGCCGCCTGTCTATGATAGAAAAGTTACGAACTTTTGTTTTTCCATAATTATTGTTTCCATAATTTGTTTTTTCCCATAATTCTGTCGGTGACTGTATGTCCATCGATTCGCAATTTGAATGCATTTTAAGGGGGAATATTGAATTATAGAAAATATGTGTCTAAAGATCTGGTGGGGCCATATTGAATTATAGAAAATATGTGTCTAAAGATCTGGTATATGCCCCTAAGTCTTCCATTGATATACATAATATCATGTGATGTTCGCAATTTGAATGCATTTTAAGGGGGAATATTGAATTACAGAAAATATGTGTCTAAAGATCTGGTATATGCCCCTAATTGGGTTGATACTACATACTTGCATTTGCATACATATTTCCATAACCCCAAAAAAACGGGTTTGAATTGTGGATCCATGACATGTCCAACAGGTGGAGCCCCAAACATTAATTATGGAAAAAATAATTATGAAAAAAATAATTATGGAAAAACCGGCCAATCTGCCCTAGCCCCCTGATTTCACAGGAAAAATCAATTATGGAAATAATGGCCACCTCCAAGAATTATGGAAAAAAAGAAGGTTCGGATCACTTCCGGGATATTTTGAACCCTTATGGGGAAAAATCCAATTATGGAAAAATCAGACGCAGGCGCCGCCTGTCTAAGTTGAACGTTTTTTTTTCCATAATTCTGTCGGTTACCATATATCGAACTAGTTGATGGGTTGTACAAACTAACAAACATCACCGGGGGCGTTTTTTCCACTTCTCTCTCTCTCTCTCTCCCTCTCCAGCGCCGTCTCTCAAGTTCAGCGAGGCTGAAGGCGCGTGTGTGGCCCAGCCAAACAGAGCCACAAATGACAATTCCAGAAGTCAATGAAATCAAAGTGTAGAATATTGTAGATTACACAAGCCTAAGCAAGATAGAACATGATAGAACCACATGTTCATACATTTTCCACTTTGCCATGTGGGTTTTTGCGCGTTTTTGTGTCCAACATCTGAAAGATCCCACCGCTCAAGCCGGTTCCCCTTTGAACCTTGCATGGACAAAGTCGGTGTCGTGCTTGAAGCGCACTTCGCCTCGCTGAAAGAGTTGGAACGCCATAGGGTTCTGGCTAGCGCTTGTATGATACGGATCTGGCACCCCCACAGAAACCGTGAACATCGCAAAATTGTTTAAGAAGTTCCCTGCGATAATCAAAAATAGATTTAAAAAAACACTCCACCATTTGAATCGGTGATTTTCCCATTGAAACCAGCATTTTCCACTGCGGTGTTTTCCCAGTTTTCACTGCGGCCATGCTTGTGATTCCCAGTCGGGTAGTCTTCCAACCCCCATGGCCCCATGGCCTTGCTGATCCACCACCAGTTTGTTCACCAGCATGTCGTCCTGCCACTTGTCCTGCATCGCTTGGTTCAGGAGAATTCTCCGTAGAATTCACCCACTTCACCAGTTGTTCACTGGTTGGTGGTTGACCTACCCCTCTGAAAAATGATGGAGTGAGTTGAGTTCGTCAGTTGGGGTGATGACATTCCATTCCCAAGTGAATGGGAAAGTCATAATCCAGCCATGTTCCAGTCAGCACCGTCCCCAGTTCACCATTTTTCACCATTAACCAACATCATTAACCATTATTGTCCATGATTAACCATCATGAATTCACCATTTTTCACCTGATGTTTTGTTCTTATGGGGCCAAACAAAAACTGATCTAGTCCTTGCAATCTCCCCTGGAATCATGGCATGTGCTAAGGACAAGAATCGATCCACCTGTTCAACCATAGGGCCATAGGGGTCTCGGCGAGAATCCTGCACTGTAAAACCTTTCACCAAGCTCGGAGTTAAGATAGTTGCAATAATCATCAATAATCCAATTTTCCATTGCTCGCCTGATTCATTCTCCCTTGGTTTCGACATCCACCCAACTACACATGATTATACACATGTACCCAGTGCTTTACCATTTCAACCCAACTAATAACATACTTCTGACCCAACTCTACAGATATATACCACGATATGTGATATGATATATCCACCATAAAGCATAGCTAACCCCACAGCTAACCCCAAACTGCCCCACTCTCTGAGTTTGTTTCTCCCCAAAATTGTGGTACCCCAAACCCATCGTTTTCACACCAATTTAAAGGGATTGATGACTTGGACTTCAATTTTGGTTTCCCTCAACGACTTGGACACATGCATTTGCCGTAGGGATTGCTACTGTCGTTTTGGAAGTTGCTAGCAAGAAACAAATCGAACAGTGAAATGAACTATGGAAATAGAGTTCAGTAGACCTAAACTTTACTCTCTGTCTATAACAAAGCACCGATTTCAACCGGGTTAGCCACGCTGACTCCCCCATTTGGTGCCTGACTGGTCAGTGCCTTCACTGCCGAGTAGTGTAAGGGCGACTGTTCAAAGCGACGAAAGAGGGTCACATATTCCTGCAGGATGGGCCCCCCCAGTTATAAGTTGGTTTATAAACCATTATAACCCCCATTCACTAGTTCGTTATATCTACCATAAACCATAGAATTCAGCCACTTATAAGGCAACTGAACGCTATCTTGGGGGCCCCATCCTGTGCAGACATGAAGCGAAGCGCGAAATGCGGTGGCAGGATTTGAATTGGCTTCACATTGGGTCTATATACATGTATACCGTGTACTCTAGCTATTGGAATATTCTATGTAGTTTAGACATGTATGTACATGCAGTAACATTGGGTTTACCACATTAGTCAATTTTTCTAGTACATAATGGCCACATAATGGATATATAATGGGTATCTAATGGGATACCTATGGATAGATTCTACCAACCACAGTTACTAATCACAACTAATGTAAAGCAATAGTAAACCATTTCCAATAGTTGGTAAGCAATAATGGAAATAGTTTCCATTCCCATTTCCCATACTTTCCCAGTTTATGAAACTATTTCCAATATTTGGTTACCATAAACTGGGAATGTTTCCACGATCAAAATATGGGTGGTTACCATTATTGCTTTACTGACATGTGATCATATGGAATATTATTGCCGCATCGACATTGGAATATACACTTGATGACGTTCACAACTGACATACTGCATCTATTAAAAAAGAAATATCGAATATAATACATATTATATACATATCATAATATATATATATTATATATAAGATGTATATAATATATATATATATACAATCATATATACACATGCATATGGATGGATGGATGGATGGATGGATGGATGGATGGATGGGACTAAGGCAATTAGGCAACTAGGCAACTGGGTGATGCAGGATTTGTGCGTGACCTGCCTGATTGACCATCACCCTATCTAACTATAGTTGTTTCATTACCATAGACCCAAGGCCGAGTTATCCGAGTTATTTGCACCAACTTGGCATTTTCAAAAACCAACTGTAAATCCCAATATTTCTTGGTTAGATCACCATGTTTGGTCAATGCTAAATTGTTGTATCGCCATGTTCCCCTGATTAGCTCATGGCTACGAATCGTGCATATATATACATATAATGTATAATTATGTATATATATACACATAATTATACATAATATATATATATATACACATATATACATCACCTTGTGCCCTCATTTTTCGTGCTTATTAACCTGTTCCCCCATTTTTCTTGGCGAAACCATCATGTGCCACCTCCAAGCTCTGCTCCACCACGTTGCGTGCCAATTGCGACAGCAGGGACGCCACAGAGTTGAAGAAATGGACTGGGCAGCGGGGGTTCACCCCGACCGATGACCGGAAATCGTGGGACTTCAATGTGACTTCAATGTGACCACCAGGGGCTTTCGATACAATGTGAGGCCCCCCAGTTATAAGTTGGTTTATAAGCCCCAGTAACTATAGTTATAAGTACCATAAACCATAGTTATTGGAGTTATAAACCAACTTAGCTATCGAACGGGGGCCTCACATTGTATGTTTCGATTCATGGGATGTTTTTCTGTTCGCCGACTTTGAACGGAAAAAACTGCTGGATCCAACCAGTAAGGACTGGACATTCAGGATTTTCCACGCTGAAATTCCAAGTTTTCCGAAGAAAAATGGAGATAACTCAGGTAATTATCTGGGCGATTGATCGAGTTCCACAACTTACCCAGATCCTATGGTTGATTCCACATGGTTCTTGATTAACCCACTATTTTCCTCATCGAACGACTTATGTTAGAGGATTGAAAATTAAACCTCCATTCCAATCACAGCCTTCCCCAGACTCATCATTGACGATCGGATAAATCTATGTATATATATATGATGGTGCCCCCCAGCTATAAGTTGGTTTATAAACCATAGTAAACACAGATATATCTGCCATAAACCATAGTTATTGGAGTTATAAACCAACTTAGCTAACGAACTGGGGCACCATCGTGTACTCAAGATATGGATTTATCCAACCATCAATTTTCTGAGTCTGGGAAGCTCATGATTCATCCATTGATGATTGGATATGTAATTCCGTAATACTCCATATACATCACGGGATTTTCATGGTGTTTTTCGTCTGAGATCGCATCTTCCCTGGTGATATCCCGGCACCTTCCATCTTGTCGGGGTCCGCATTACCAGGTAGACTCGGTAGATTGGAGGGTGAAGCCTCACCCTCGGCCTCCTCCTAGGAATGAAAGTCTGCTGTAGATTTATCCATTGACTAGTGGAAAACAAAAGTACCATGGTGGAAACTATAGATGAGAGAGAGAGATTTGAGGTGGTACTGTATGGGATACTAATCATCCAACCATACGATGAATCGGATGTGTCTGTATTAATGGGAGATCCTGGGAGTCCAGACTTTCCAGCTATCGAACCAGTGTCCAAATCTATGGTTAGATATGGTTAGAGGTTTGAATATCTATGGTTAGAATGACTTTCCATCATTCTTTTGTCATATCACCAGTGTGAACCTATGGGGATCCTAAATCCACTGCTCAAACATCATATTCCCGAGCTCAGAAAACACGTTCCAGGACCCCCCTCCATGTACAATGATGAGGAAGGCGGGCTGGAAAAAAAACAACTCGAATCAACGGAAACAGCCAGTCAGTCCGGCCATTTTTGGTCATCGCCAGATCTTCAGGTTTTTGGTTGCAAGGCATAGGAAGACATTGTGGACTGGAGGAAGGGCAATGTTTCCCATTCCTCCTAAAGCGATGCCTGCCTGGCTGATCCTGAAAGATCAAGGGCCTTGTCATCAGCTGAATCCAGGGAAAAAAAACATGCCCAAACATGCCGAAACTAATGATAATAGACCACACACATATATATATATATATGTATGTATGTATATATGTATGCATGCATGTATGCATGCATACATGCATACATGCATACATGCATACATGCATACATGTATACATGCATACATGCATACATGCATACATGCATACATGCATACATGCATACATGCATACATGCATACATGCATACATGCATACATAATAAAATGTTCTATAATATAGAAACAAATAATATAACAACGATTGATAACGAACTTAGTATAACAAGTCCCCGCCCCATGTCTCTATACATCTCTATATGTCTCTTGATGCCTTTATGGTGAGGTTCTTGGTGTCGATGGCCGGGAAACAACCGGGTTGGGGCCTCGTCAAAGAATCGAACCATACCTATTATAGCCTACTATCATATCCCTATCATATCCTATTCTCCTAATTTTCCCAAAAATCCGACTGTCAATTCGTTAAAAAAATCAGCAGGACAAGATCCTTCATCTCTCCAATTCAGAGGGGCCAAATGCCCTTTACTTCTTCGAAATGTCTGACTCTTCAAGACCCGCTTTATCCAAACCACGCAAGTTTCGTTGGCGGAACACATGTCAGGACATTGCACATCTAAACATTTAAATCATGTGGTACGTGACTATATCCGTCCTATTCGTGTTCCTCGTTTGTTTTTGACGTTCCTCTAGCCAAATTTGTCAACAGTCAAGGATTTTTGCATCGTGTTTCTGTGCATTGAAAGGTTCACGGGAAGTTCCACCGACCAAAACAAACAAATTAAGCACTAATCTATCCGTGGTTTTCAGAGTATGGAACTCCCCTATCCGCAGAACAAACATGCACCAGCACAGGCGATGGGTCATTTTAACCACCTTTGAGGTCGATGGCTATAGTCTTTAGTACCAAGTTTGAGGGATGGACATCCATATACATCCATAGCACCTATAGAATGAGGTGGGCATCTGCCAGCAGCCACGCATTTAGTAGCTTCATTTCAGAGGGTCCGAAGCGTCTTTTGAATCACAGAATAGAGGTCCGCAGGGGTCAGGGCCAGAAAGTCATCGATCACCAATCAATGGATTGGTTTTTCATTGGTTTTCTTAGAAATTTCACCGGAAACCAGGAAACAAAAGAGTTTTTACTAGCAAAAAATGGTGAAGGTTTCCTCTAAATTCTCCATCATTTTCTTCGATCATCCATTTCCGGGGTCGAAGAAATCATCAATATCAGTGGTGTTTGAGATATGTGGATTATGTGGTATGAGGGTTAACTAATGTTAACATATGTTAAATGTCAAAAAATATGCTAAACGCGTCAAAAAACACAAAGAAAACTGTGAAATCATTGGGGCATGATTCGCAAAACTGATTCAGGATGGAGCCGAGTATCTCTACAAAGTGGGGCCCAAAACAGATTTATGTTGCTTCACAACTCAGTTACCCAGTTGGGGGCAAGTTCTGAGGCATCCCCTCCAGCAGTTGAATCTGCTTCTAAGCTCCAAAAGATATAGAACCGTGAATCTGCCACTATTTTGGCAGGATTTTACTGACGCATTATTTTTTTGGGGGGGGAGGTGCTACTCAAAAATCATCCCATAGCAAAACGTTGGATGATCATAGCGAAACCTTTGCGGCCACACGGCCGCCTGACCAAGTCATATCCATGGAAGTCGTTGGGACATGCGCTTAAATAAGCATTGTATGTATATTTAGGATTATTGGGATGTATAAGATTATAATCCTACATCCTATGTAATAAATAGTATTGTATTGGGATTATCTAAATATTGGGATTATCTAAATAGGATTATTATATATATAAAGGAATATAATATGTCCCAATACTCTATAATAGATTAGATAATCACATTGTAATTTATCCTATTTACTGTATATGATAATTATCACATTGTAATTTATATATATATGTAATAGGATTTAGAATGGGATGTGTAATCCTTCCCGCCTGATTATCAAAAACAACGCCCAGAACCATGTTTTCATCGGGGATTTACACCGTTTTTCGGAACATACAATGAGGTGTTTAATTTTTGGGGATGGAATTACCATGGAAGTTTCATTGGGGATTTAGCCAATGCTTTAGATAATGGCATATGTGGATATGCATAAGATAATATAAATTCAGTGGCCATTTCAGGAACCTAAATTGGAGGTACCTACCATATAATATACAAGGCCTATGTAAGGCCTAAATTTCAGGGGGATATCCCCACAAAATATGGACAGAAATATGGTACTAAGTTAGTACCTCCATCAATTGGATTCTGGAGATCTCCCATAAATACAAGATAAATACAGGATAATTCCCATACTTTGATGATCTTTGATGTATAATATGCAGTGGGATATGGTGCATGATCATCCACTGAGGATCGGATCCCGGCCATTACCCGGCCTGGTCAACGTTAACACATAACGAACTGGAAAGATCCACCATGCTATGAAATGGGGATTCATCCAGTACCCTCTGGTAAACTAACATAACTATGGAAAATATTTCTACTGGGCCATGGCTTCAATAGCTTTAAATGTATTTGAACACCGGGCCGGGTACTAATCATGAAATAAAACCCTATGTTGGTGCTATGAACATCCCATATGGGGCGATCATCCCTGCCCTAGATCATCTCCAGGGAGCACGGCTAATACTTGGCTCGACAAGTATTGTGGAGTAAAACCAAGCGACATGGGAAAATCGACCAACTAATTGGTGCGTTTTACGTAAGGTTGCTGGATGGGTTGCTGGGGGTTGCTGGGATGATGACATTACTAGTGATGAAATGGATCATTCCCGAAAATTCCCTGCGTTTAGCACCAGTAAGATAATGTTGTGGCAGAAACAACGACAGAAATGATGTTATAAGCAGCATACCATAATGAATTCTATTCTAAACAAAGGTGATCACACAACTCCCAGCTACGGCTTTGTAAGACGGTGGTGACAACGCATTTTTGTTGGTTGACGTATCCATGTTTTTTTTCTCCCATTTTGTCCAATATATAAACATTCACAATACCTGCTGTTTTACTTGCTTCGCAGACCAGATTTGTCAAATAAAAAAGGAAAAATTAAAGATTGGTATCGGAAGATTGTCCTAAAAGAGGAGACCCAAACCTCTTTAAGGGGCACCAACATCCATCCCTCCGCCACACCGGAGGCATGAATGCCCCCCTATGTGTCCCCTGAGATCTCCGCCACTCCGGAGATTAGCTCAGTGCACTAGACACGGACAATCTTTGAAAAAATCATTCAGGAATGAAATATATTTCAGACCACGACTCTCCCCCCTCCCTTCATTTTGTGCACTTTGTGCCCCTTTGGGAGGGGGGGCGGGCCTGAAGCCAGAGCTGCAGGAGTAATACATGCGGTATTTTCATGTTTATCACCGTAAACGTAGGTACAAACATTCACAATACCTGCTGTTTTACTTGCTTCGCAGACCAGATTTGTCAAATAAAAAAGGAAAAATTAAAGATTGGTATCGGAAGATTGTCCTAAAAGAGGAGACCCAAACCTCTTTAAGGGGCACCAACATCCATCCCTCCGCCACACCGGAGGCATGAATGCCCCCCTATGTGTCCCCTGAGATCTCCGCCACTCCGGAGATTAGCTCAGTGCACTAGACACGGACAATCTTTGAAAAAATCATTCAGGAATGAAATATATTTCAGACCACGACTCTCCCCCCTCCCTTCATTTTGTGCACTTTGTGCCCCTTTCCACGTCCCCCAGTCCTGTAGGCCCGTTTTGGGGCTACTGGCTCAAGCGAAGGCTGGGAGATCCACGTGTGAAAAATATGGTGAAAAGGCGAAAGCAATGACTTTGGAATTTGAATGTCAGAAAGCATAGCAAGGCCAGAGTTAATATAAATCCTGGCCGTTTTCAAGGCCGTCCACCGCCCTGCAATCAACACACGGTCCAAAGACCCATTCTTGGTAAATAAATGGGTGGCTCCTCCTCTCCGGAGCGAGTAGGGTCTGAACTCCCACTGTTCAAGTTTCAATTTCTTGAGGGCTTCAGAAAACAAATCACGCCAAGCATGGGGCTTTAAAGTGAGGAAGGTATGTGGTGGGACAACATTCTTCCATGCCCACAATTTGCTTAGCACATTTTTCTCGGTGAGCGTGACACTCTCTGCTGCACCTTGTCGTTTTCCAGTTTTGGTTAGCCCTAAATTGATAACAGCCGGCTGCGTTGGCGAGACCATATGGATCTGCCACGCTTGGATTGCAAGGAGTTCCCCTGTACGAAGTAAACCATAAAACCCAACCAACAGACTGAGAGCAAAGGTCTCATGTTGTTGCATGATTGCCCAACCCACAAGGGCCTTTAACACGGGTTCACTAAGCGGTGGGGC